AGTCACTTCCTGGACCAGTTGTGGTATTCATTCAAAGGGCCAAACTCGCTTTCCGCCAAATTCGGAGATCCATAGCCGCTTCAATGAGAGTCATATTCCCGATAACGAAGACATGAATGACGAACAATGCAACTATTTTGCTCATTGATTGGGCAGCATTTGCCGTCTCACCCCCGCATGCCATTGAATCCAAGCCGCTTGCTAAGCTCCAATCTATTGGACCATCCCTTTGAATTCAAAAGGAGCGGATAATCATTGTGCCTGTCGACTGTTTGCTCGGTCAGCATGACCTACGGTGACGTGCTCGCCTACTGGTGATGAGAGCAATCTTGACTCGCCGTCTACCATAAAAACACCAACCAGTTCACATGGCGCACTCCCCTCAAAGACTCGCTCTACAACGACTCGGCAATCTCACACGAATACTACAATCCAATCAGCGATCTCACTCTATTCGAAGCTCACCGAGTTTTCAGACTCGTACCATGTCCTCGTCCACTGAAAACGAGAAAGGCCTCTTGCTCTACACTTGGTCGACTCCCAATGGAAGGAAGGTGAGTTCTATCACAATATGATTCGAGTTACCGGTCCAGTACTTACTCCTCGTGGCTTTGTTAGGTGTCGATATTCCTTGAAGAATTGAAGGCCGCCTATGGAACCAATTATTCTGTCGAAAAGATCGACATCAATACGAACATCCAAAAGGAAGACTGGTTTATTGCAGTACGTGACCTCCCAACAAACATAACTATCAACCATCCCTGATATCTCGCCTTTTTGTCTTCAATTAGATAAATCCCAACGGAAGAATCCCGGCCTTAGTAGACAACTCGAGAAATGGTTTCAAAGTATTCGAAAGTGCAGCTATCCTTCTCTACCTAGCATCTCATTATGACAAGGACCGCAAATTCTCCTTCGAGCCAGGAAGCGACGACGAGAGCGAAATGCTACAGTGGATCTTTTTCACGGTAAGATTCATTCCTTGCATCAGAGGCCTAAGAGATTGAATTGAAATATCATCTTCGCTGCACCTTTCCCTTTAGCACGGAGGAATAGGGCCGATGCAAGGACAATGTGAGCCGCCGTATAATGGAATGAACGCCATCTGATCTTCGGAAATAGTGAATCATTTTAGCAAGTCTGCGCCGGAGAAGATGTAAGTACTCAACTTTCTCCAACACACCCAATCCTCACGTCAAATTTCTAGTCCTTATGCTATCAACCGTAAGCTCTATTATCACCTGAAGAATACTTGAAGCAATTTTTCACAGGCTATCTCAACGAGACGAAACGGCTGTATTCTGTCCTGGAGATTCGGTTGGCAAACCGCGACTATCTCGCAGGACCGGGTAGAGGCACCTATTCCCTGGCTGACATGAACTGCCTTGGATGGATCAATGGCCATGTATACTCCGGTATTGAGAACTTGGATCCTTGGCCGGGCGTGAAGGTAGGCACCAAATCTTTCCTTCAGCCAATTGATCTATCATATAACTGATACTCCTCTGCATAGGCTTGGGCAGAAAGACTCAAGGCGAGGTCGCAGGTTCAAGTTGGTCTCCGTGTGCCATCATGAAGTACGGCAGCAGAACTATCAATGTACCCACTCGTTAATCAATAAATGCTCTTCCATTACAAAAAACTCGCGGATGATAGATACAAACAGTAGGGAGGATGATCACCTATAGTAAGTGGGGAAGGGGTCGAGAGGAAAGGGACCATTTCTATTTGTCATTCTCAAGTATTGTTCGATACACCCTCGGTTTGAGTGCATGTGCTATGAGGAATACCATTTGGCTCGTGATCACCTTCCAAATTACTGGGTACAGGGCATTGTATCTATTAGCTTTTGTTGTGATTGTGTAGAGAAATCAAGAGATGGCAGACAGACCATGGACCGAAAATATTCTACATTCTGTAGAGACTGCGTAGTATCTGGATGCTCTGAACCTAAAACTTTTTGGCGTAAATTCAGACCTTTCAGACCAAGCTGAAGAGCTTAGCCGCAGTTTCCTAATTTTGAGTGATGCAATGAGGTATTTTTCCCTCTCTCGTGCAGATAGTCTTATCCGTATGGTAAACCTTGCTCGCTTGTTCCCAATACTTTACTGCATTAAATAATGGATAAACATGAGCTGATAAGAGGTCATTATTCTGGGCCAAATCTTTCCTGTAGGGAGACTGAGCAGGACAGTTGGTCGTCCTGTCGATCACCAGAGGTGGCATGACCGTCGAGTATGCTATTTGCGAGTCTGTACGTCGCTATCTCATTACATCTCCGAGCATACACGAGTTTAAATGTCTGAAACTCGATTCTTTCACTTGAGGTGGAGTCGGGGCCGGAGCAAGAACGGGATTCTCGGAACCGACCATGTGAGATTCGGGAAGGTTAAGCAGTAGTTGTTGTGGAAGATATTGTGAACCCGAACTCATTTACTCTGCTATGAAAATTAGCTATCTATGGCAAGATAGCAATGATACTGATTGAATTCAAGGCTGAACCATAGACTGACTGACCGCCATTAAGGGGCGTCATCGTGGTCAGCATAAACCTAATTCTACTGAATGCAACCCGGAGTCAATGAAACAATAGTTAGAGTACTAGTTGAATTTACCTATACAATCTAATGAAATACAATACCTGATACAAGATGATAGGGTATGGTGCACGGAGTCCAGCTCATCGTGCATTCACTTCCTCCCTTGGCCTCCTATTCTCGTTCTCTTCACCCTCTCTGGCCTGGATTCTCCTACTTGGGTGGTAGCCCCGCTTGCCTGGTCCTACCACTTTGCCGTAGTCCCCTTTCTTGCCTAGTTGATCCCAGATGTGATTCATCCTTCCCAGTATTCGACACAATAATACTTTTCTCGCCATTTGTCGCGTTCTCTTCGCCATGGTCGACATCTTTCACCAAGGACCTCCGCTCTGCATGTCTACGCGCTGGCCGCTTTCGCTTGGATTGCCCTTGAACGCTGGGATTTATAATAGGATTTTCTAGTGGCACTGCTATCTCCATCTGCTGTAACGTAAGATCGACATTTTCCACGTCCATCTCGTCGCTGAAGATACGGTCAGTGCCAAGAATGAAAGCGGGTAATCTTTGTACCTACAGTAGCTCAAAGAAGTGTTCCCATAACTCGACCACCCGGCTCAATCCTTACTTTCGTAGCTATATGTAGAGTAGAAAAAATCGAATACATGCTTTTTAAAAAGGAGAACATATCAACTATTTACAGTGTGAGTAGTAAGGGTATAGGAGCTATGATAGGTACGATAGAGGCTCGATAAGGGGAAGCAGTCATTGGTACAATTTCTTTGCCTAATACTTAGTGTGACCTCCTTTAGCACGGATAACACTCCTGAGGCGATTGGGCATGCTCGCTACAAGGTCATAGCATACCTGAGGGTCAATTTGATTCCATTCTTGTTCAATACGTGCGTTAAGCTCTTGAATGCTCTTCGGGCTGGTGGGATAAGCATTGAGTTTGCGTTTGAGATGAGCCCAGAGATGTTCGATGGGATTGAGGTCGGGGGATTGGGAGGGCCAGCGTAAGACTGGGATAGAATTGTCAGCAAACCACTTCTTTGCAAGTTTTGAGGTGTGCTTAGGATCGTTGTCCTGTTGGAAAATGAAGTCTGGGTCATTGGGTCCACTCTCTGCCAGGCTAGGGAGGAGATTCTGGGTGAGTATCTCAACGTATTGCTTCTCGTCCATACGACCTTCAACTTCGGACATCCTTCCAACTCCAGAAGCGGTCATGGACCCCCAGAGCATCGTGCTACCACCACCAAACTTGACCGTGCCGACGACATTCCTTGCCTCAAGGGGACGACCAGCTTTCTTCCAGCCCCAGACACGTCCATCAGAGCCCAAACGGTTGATTTTGGTCTCATCAGAGAATATAACGCGAGACCAGTCGTCGATGGTCCAGTG